CATATTCAAAAGAACTCTCATTCCTTTGAAGGCAAAAAAAATGGCATTCATTCTGGCAATAATCATGCATTGTGTTCTGAACTAATCGGCAAAAAGAAATATATCACACTTCTAGCCAGATTAACTACACAAAAAGCAGTCATGTATTTACTGAACTGACTTCAAAATAAATATTTAGGAGGTTGTTTTTCTGTAATGGTTAGCATCATCTAAAAGTCTACCCATAAGAGTGCTCAAAATGTAACTAACCCTCCTCCTTCTCTAATGCAGCATCCTGAAATTGGTGCAACCAGCCCAGACGGGGTGGTAAGTAAAATCTGTCCTATCAAAATGTAGTGCTACCTCCTGAGGAGCAGTGAAGTGATTCCATGAAGACTAGCAATTTGACCGAGATGTAAATTTACACGAGCAAAACCTGCAGAAAAATGAAGCTGTAATTACAAGGGAAAGAATATGAAGAACAACCAAGGCAGATGACAGTAGGAAAGAGAAGATTCAATTTCATCTAAGAGTGGCAGGAGTGGCATAAAAGAGCAAGATAAAAAAGTATAAAAGCTATTCATGGGAAAGAAAATAATGGGAGATGACTGGGAGATGGGGAAAGTCAAAAAAAATCCTGAATATTTTAGACAGTCCAGAAATGAAAGAGATTTTACAAAGCCTTCTCTTTCATCGTCTACTCTGGTACATGACTAGCAGATTTCTGAGAGAAAGGAAAAAAAAAAGGGGAAAGTAAAATATAAGAAATGGGAAGCTGGAATTCAGAAAGAACAGCTGTCAAGACTGGATTGCATTGCATTTATCTCACCATTTAGCTTACTTTTACAGTTAGTATTCTTATCTTCAGCAATCCTGACATATTAGTCATGACAGAAAATACAAATCTCTTACAATATATTAGCTTAACAGTTATATTCACATGGAGTTGCAAAACACAGTAAAAATTTCCTTGTTTCATTCTTTGCAATAGTAAGCACAATTCTTCTGTCACTATTACCAGAGTTTTATTTAATGTGATGTATCTCCACTGACATGGAAAGAAATTCTTTGGACCCAGACTGAGAGGAAGATAGGGCTAATGTTGATTGTGGTGCCAGAAAAATGCATCACAGGGAAGTGCCTTGTCTCAGGTGGACACATAAGAAATGTTGACTGAATTCTGCAGGAGTGGTGCAGATACAAATGGGGACACTACATGAAGAACAATCCCAAAAGCTCTAGTGTCAGTCTTGCCACTGGTCAAGGCAGCAATCTTCAAAGTTGGTACTGTGCAAAGATAGAACAAGTGGCAATGGCTTTAAGCTAAAAGACGGTAGGTGTAGGTTAGATATTAGAAAAAATACTTGACTGTGAGGGTGGTGAAGCACTGGAATGGGCTGCCCAGAGAAACTGTGGATGCCCTCATCCCTGGTGTTCAAGGCAGGTTGAATGGGACTTTGAGCAATTTGACTAGTGTAAGGTGTCCCGGCCCATGGCAGGGGAGTTGGAATGAGATGATCCCTTTCAACTCAAACCACTCTATGATTCTACCACATTGCTGCTCTACATTTCTAATTGCAGTAATTGCCCTTTGCCATCTACTACTCTGCACATTGTACAGAAATACAGGTTCTGCAGGTAAACATTACTGATGTTTCACACTGTCTACCTGACTTCCAAGGTCACTTCAATCCAGCAGGCCAAATCACTCCAAAGTAGGTGTGCTAATGTGAGCCTGTATTTATTAGTACTATAAGGCCCTGTGAGATAGGGAAGGACGTTGAAACACAGAAAATAAAGGTCCTACTTAAAGAAAGAGCTCCTACATCCAGTTTAACATAGAGGCTTTCCCCACATTTGCCAGACTCCAGCAGAAGCTTTTCTGTGCTCAGACATAAAGACTCACAAACTGCTGATGGAGATGCCTACAGTGAAAGGGGAAGATGCTCTGCCCTTCGCAAGGCTCCTAAAAGAGTAGAGAAGAATTGATCCTGTAAGTTCTCATTTTAGGCTTTAGCCTGCTGTACCACTTATGACCAATGTATGTCTGTTATGACATATTATGGTCAAAAAAGTAACCAATTAAGACACCCAGAGAAGCTTATCTCTGCTCTCCCTACTGAAATAATGGCAGATGCAGACACTAAGGTAGTAGATTTTAAACTGGTGTATTTCTGTCTTTTAGCTTCTATTGCATGATCACAGAGTAAATCCTAATTTCTGCTGATGCTACTGATTGTCTTAAATTCACCTTCATAAGCTAAAAAAAAATAATTACTTAAATAAAGCATTATGGACTTGGTAAAACTTTAAAAACTCATGCCTAGCAATTAGTAATAATAAAGTTCTTGGTGCTGAAGTCTACCATTTTTTTTTGAAACTGAGAAATGGGGAAAACCCTGCAACACCAGCACAAATTGCAGTTTTCCTTTGCCATTTAAAACAAAAAAACCCACAACAGTATCTTCCTTTTACATGCATGATTCTCAAGCAGCCATGCCATAAAACACACGGTCAACTTATTTGTCTACACACACAGCAAAGCTGCTCTATCCTGCACCAAATGACACATTAAATTTGTTCACTGTTTAACAAGGAAAACTCATAATGTTGCTGTTAATGATTTACATAGAGACAAAACAGCTCTGCCTAAATTTTGTTAAAAATTGTGAAGCTGCGGTCATTTTAACCTCTCTTTCATAACTGCAAGCTAACCCAATCAATAAGCTGGAACCACATACAGCATTTCTTCTGCCATGAAAGGAAGGTATTTCTGTCACAACAGCCTTAACAGCCAGAGGTCCCCAGGCACACTCCACAGAGGCAGCTCACGTCTGGATTAACACGGGAACCAAAAAGGACAGACAAAGCTGTCCTCTTGCCACACTTGCCTGACCCTAGCAGATTTCGTCACTGAGCAAGTAAAACCTAATTAGAGCCCAAATATCCACTGATATCCAATATGGATGTTAGCAACTCAGGGAATTATGAACCATTCAGTGAAGCTCCCTGTAACAGCACTGACACATCCAGGGGGGGAACCTCTGACTTGCAAGAAAAGGCAACAAGAAGTATTTCAAGGCTGAAATTCAGAGCTCAGATAAAACAGACAGGCAGTCCCCCCTCGGTGCACATGGCAGTGCTGCCATCAGCTTCCACAGGAGCAGATTAGCACCCACACATTTTGTTATACAATATCACAAGTGCATCTGCACCTTACAATTGGATTCATCTCCTTGAGCCATGTCACAAGCAATCTGAAGTTAATACAGTTACTGTAATTTTTGTTCCTGTATGTGATATCCGAGTCTGTCTGTGGATAAGTTTACACAGATGAAACTGGTTACAAAGGATTCAGGAGTTTTGTTCAGAAACGCCCCCAGACTCCAGTGTTCATCTCTGAGATGCACTAATGACATGTTCCCATTTCAAATTCAAACTCTTTAATGAATCTTTGGATTCTTATGAATCGAGACAAATTTTTAAACAGCACTGCATCTGAGTTACTCTTCAAAGCACACGTGTAAATTGGCACCAGAAATGATCTCTTCATCAGAATTTTAGAAAGCAGCTATACTATTACATTAACTAAATACACAGAGGGGCAGGCACCTTCTATGTACTCCTTTTCCTGGAAGCCTAAAAGGTCATGATCAAAAAGGCTCATTTGCAACTGGAATTAAGCATTTTATTTACAAAAGAGAAGCAAGCTATGTCACGCTCTGCAACTCAAAGAAACGCGGCACACACTGTTTCATTACCACAGCACTAGCAACGGCATCTTCAATCACTGTTCCCTGTACTACTTTCTGTTTTAGGCACTACAAGGTTCCATATCAAACACAAACTGAGGAAACAAAACTACTGTAGTCCACTAGCACATACTTTAAAGCTGTGTCCTACTTCGTTGAAAATAAATTTATGACCTAAAATTAGAACTAAAAATAAAAATGCAGCTGAAGCAATCACAGTCTCTTTCAGTCCATGCAGACAGTGTGAAGTAGAGCAGTAAATTGCTGCAAGGAGACAGAACAGCTCTTAAAACTTGCCCAGCTTCTAGTGTGACAAAAGGGATCACTCAGGACCTCAGCGTGCTGGTGCTCTCGTCGTTTAATTAACGGACTAATAAATTCACTGCTGGCTCACTCTTTATTTGTCTCTTCTCTTGAGAAACCCCAAACCCACCCGTGGTTTACATTAGGACTGACTACTATTTAGCAGTAGTGCTGCGAGAGCGGTACCTGTCACCAAAGCCAGGAGGAACTGGGGGCAGCGTCCACAGGTGCCCCGTGTCCGGCCGGCACTGCGGTCACCCACCAACCTCTGACAAGTTTCGGCGTTTCTAATGCGCGGTTGGCAGCGCTTTTCCTTCCTCTGCCACGGCCGTGCGGTGGGGCCGAGGGACCCACAGCCGGGACGGCTGAATAAACCTTTCAAAGCCTTTTGGCAGCTGCGTCCTGGCGCTCGGGCGAGAATCTCTGCGGCCCCGGGGGCTGCTCCAGACCCTCGGCCGGGCAGGTCCGCCCCAGACCCGCCGCGGCCCCGGCTTCCTCCCAGCTGGTGGTGCTGCTTCCAGCCCTGGCGGCCCGGGTCGGGAGCTTCAGGCGGCGGCTGCCTGCCGTCCCGCGCAACCTCTGCAGGAATAACCCCCGAACCCAATCCGCTCTCCGTTCTCGCACCCGGAGGGGCAGCGCCGGCAGCCTGGCCGGGGCGCCCCTCCCGCAGGGCAAAGGCGAAGCAGGCACTTTCTCCCGCTCCTGACCTTTCTGCACCCCAGCTCACCGCCCGCCGTCCCCTGCTCCCCCTCTCCCCACGGGCTGCGCTCTCAGAGCGGGCCGGGCGCCGACACCTGTGCGCCGGCTCCCTCTCGCCGCCCCGAGAGGGAAGGGAGGCAGGCGGGAGGGAGGGAAGACACCGAGGCCCGCCGGCCAGCACGGCCGCTGTCGCCGTCCGGAGCCGCTCCTCCCATGCAGGCGAGCGGTGGCCGGCCGGGCCAGGGTCCCGGCAGGAGGGAGGCTTACCCGGTGGGAGGCTTGCTGGCCCCAGGGCGCACGAGGGTCTCCATGGCCGGGCCCCCCTCACCACTTCTTAAGGGACGGGCCGGTCCAAGACGCGATCCCGCAGCGGGGCAGCAGCGAAGGTCGGAGGCGGGGGTACCGAGAGGGAGGGAAGAGAGGAGAGCAGAGGAGTGAGAGCCGCCCTCGCCCCCTCCCTCGCCCCCACCTCCCCCGCTCCCCGCCCCGCCGCCGGGCGGCACTGCCCGGGCCGCCGCCGCCCACGGCTGCCCAGCCCGGCCAAGGGCGGGGATGCCCTGCTAGGGCGGCCCCCGCCCGCCTTACCGGGCCGACAGGGAAGCTACGCCGCAGCGCAGGCACTGACAGCTCGGCTGCCCGGCCAGACCACGTCAGGGCACGGCGGGGCTCAGCTGGCCGCTGCCCGGGCAGCCCGGGGGTGCGGGGGCGCTGCGAACCGGTTTCCATGTGACTGGCCGGCACAAACGCAAACACGACCGCCGCCCCCGGAGGCACTGCCGCCCCCGCCGCCCCCGCCGCGGTGTGGGAGAAGAGGGGATGGGGTCACCGGTGGGGGAAAGGAGCGACAAATGCCCCCGTCAGCGCCAGCTCCGAGAACCCTCCTCCGCCTCTTTCGCCGCGAACTTGGCAAACCCGGCGCTTGCCAGGCGGCTGTGCCCGAGGCTGCGCCCCGCGGGGAACGGAGGCTTTTCCTCAGCCTCACGCCCTGCACAGACCCTGGCGCTGCCACCTCCGGCACGTTTCTCGTCATCCCTGTTCTTACAGATGTTTTTTTCTTCTTTCGGAGGCGGCACAAACAACTACTTGAAAACTACCAGCGACTTTGATCAAGAAGAGGGGCTGGCGTGGCTGACGGGGCAGTCATGGCAAGGCAGGCTTCTCCCGGGTTTGCCTTCCAGCGGTACGAGCCCATCATGGGGAAGGCAGACCCACAGCCCGGGAGGTGCGGGGCGCCCGCCGGCATAACCTTCGCGGCAACTCAGGCACCGCGTTGAAAATCTGTGTGTGCTGTTTTAGGAGTATCCCCCTCACGCCGTTTCCCCAGAATATCGACTGTTAACGCTTGTGTGAAAGGAGAACAAGGCTGGAGGCGGGGGAGCCTGCCTAGTATTACTGAGGTACATGCCCGCTGTCCGGCGTGCCCGGCGTTGGGCAGCCTGGCCTCTCGGATGTTTCAGGAGTTTCTCTCCTCTCCAGCCAGCCATTTGCATTACATTGCTTTCCAGGCCATGGTGGGAGGATGGCAGAGATGGCAGACGGGTCAGGCTACCAGCCAACACAGGGACCATGAGACAGGAGCAAGCAGACTGAGTGACATGCCGGTTGAGAGATTTGGGTGAGGAACTGAGATGGGAACGGGAGATGCTGCCTGACTTGCATTTCTCTTGACTGCCTTTGTGATGGTCCCACAGGTTCTGCTTAATGGTCACTCCTTCCCCCAAACACTTCCATCCCTTCAGGCTTTAGCTTGATGGGCATGTTCTGCCCATCGGAGAGTGTCTTGCCCAGTTCAGTAATCAGACAGAGTAAATGCAAGCAGCTTCTTTGGCTCCAAAAGTTAGAGTTTCTTCCTCAGCCAGCAAGACTTGGCAGATCTGGGTCAAAAGCTACATGTGGCTGATGGCATTGCTATCTGGAGAAACCCTCATTCCAGGCTGACTGTAAATGTTTTGAAACATTCAAACATTGGATTAATTTGCCAGTAACAGAAAAGGACGTGTTCACCTTTTCTGTACTGCACGTTTGTCTACCAAGGCTTTTATGTTATGATCAAAATACCTGTTTCTGTGTATTTTACCCCAGTGTGTAACAGACAGGGAAGTACTACTGTATTGTAGTATAGCCATCCTTAACTTTATCTTTTCTTGCTTTGGCAACCTGAGGTCTTCCCTTAATTCCCATCTCCTCAGCAGAGAGTTGAGAATGCTGACTTCTGTTCCCTCCTCTCCATCCCTGCATATACAGATGGCCTGAGGGCAAGGGAGGCAGTTGGCTGTCCTAGCTGTAGGTAGAGAAACAAAAATATGAATTTGAAGAAGCAAAACATGGATCTCTAATTTCCCTGCTACCATGGGTAGAAGTTGACTGAGTTGCCACAGTTCAGTAATTACCCCAGTCATCTGAGCCACATGCCATGGTAATGAGCCACATACATGATCTTAATCTGAGCCCTTATGAAAATAAATAGGCTAGGTTACATACTTTATTTTGCAAGTGGATTGGTTCAGCAACTGTGCACTGTCACTTACCATAGCTCCAGGAATGAATGGTGATCTGTTAAATCATGGGAACTTGATTTCATAGCTTTGTTCATCATTTATTCAGTCATTTTTCATCTCCCCTTTTTTCCTCGGAAATCTTAATGAACTCTTCCCTATCCTAGAATAGATGCAAAGGCTGCACAGGAACCAAACCTCTGCAGAACCGTCCAAACCTTTTCCTGTCTGCATCATTAGCAAATTATGCTGCATCAGTTATTTCAAGAACCTGAAAGAACTTCTCTTGCCTCAGCTGTAACTTTTACTCTACCATGATATACATGAGCAGAGGTGTAAAACAAAATAATATTTGCTTATGATACTCATTTCTTTTTATATAGCACAGCAAAAGAGTGAAAGCCTATTAATTACCGAACTCACAGCACCAGCAGAAGCGACTGCCCATTCTCCTGTTCTTCAGTCCCATTTGGCTGATGGAAAATCTGGGTAAAATGTGGTGAGTACACTCTGCGATACAGCATGGGAATCTGCCTTTCTCCAGGCTCTTTGGCATTGGGCCTGGCTCTTAAAAGAAGGGCAAAGGGGGTATTTCTAGTGTGCATTGTAATCCCCACAACCGTGGTGCTATGCTCATTTTTTAGGCAAAGGGCATTAGTTTGGAGAGGGGCTGTGTGAGTATTTGCCAAGCTCATAAAATGTCTGTGAGACTGGCATGTTCAACCCCACCCCTAGACGGCTTTTAACCCTTTCATTTCTATATAGCTTCATCTCTGTTTAGATGGGCCTCTTTAACATATTTCCTAAGAAAATGTAAACATTTAGGTGACAAAATCCTTGACAAAAAATAGTTTAGGCCTTTAAAAATATTCACCAGAACAATTTCACATTAATGCTTTTGTACAGTCTTTAAAACCTTATTCCTATATTTTCTCACCTTCACTGCTGGTAGTGAATCAAACCTTTAAGGCTGCATTTTTCTTCTGCTAAAACTGGCCTGTAATATTTCAGGAATTTGAGTTTATAGTATAAGCGTAACTGAACATGTAAGGAATCTAGTAAGATGAGTCTAATACCAAAGAATTTGTTTATAAGGTAGCAAAAGAGGTTAAAATTAGCTCAGCATTAGCTAACATGCACCAGTTAACCAAGCTTTTTCTCTAGTCTAGCATGTAATCTTTTCCTATGATTCCACTGTTTGAGGACCATCTTAAAATCAGAAACCAGGTTTGAGCTTAAAAACCAAAGCAAAAATAACAAACTCTAATTTATAGCAAGAAAAAATTATGAATAGAAGTTAGTTAGTGCGATTAGGTTTGGTTAATAGCAAACACACATCTTTAACCACATAAATCCTTTTCCCATTCTCAGCAATCTAGAAGTTGCAATTTAAGCATTAGTCCCTGTAAGAGAGTTGACTTACTGTACAATTGTAAAATTCTTGGCTCTGTAATTAGAGCAATTGGAGCTGTGTAGCCTGAGGCTCACAAAATTCCGTTACTTTGCTATCCACAGCAAAAAAAAAAAAAAAAAAAAAAAAAGAGAAGGGAAGATTTTTCAGAGTTATTTGAAATGTGTCTAAAAGTGGACACAGCAGACAACTACATAATCCAGACTGAAGCTGATACATCTCTATAATATGGTCACACAGTCTTGAATGTAAGAACCGTAGAACTTTGAGGATTTTGTTTTAAAGGTTGGGTATTAATTACACGCTTATTGTTCTTTTTTTTTCACCACAGTTGTTTTCCCTAACATTTTGTTCCATATATTTTGGACAATTGCCCTACAATTTCCTCCCTTTTCTACTATTCCTCCTATGTGTGCTTTTTTCAGTATTTGAAACCCAAGGCCTAGTCTGCAATTGAACTGACATTAATGAAAGAATATTTACCTGGACAGACCCAGTGGGCCAAAGCTCATGTTCTTGGGCTCAGCTGTGGTGAGAACCTTCCTAGGCAAGATGCTAATGTAAGATGTTTTCCAAAACTGAAGAATGGTGTGACTCAAACTCATCTAAACAGTGAGAACATACTTCTCTGAACAGTGTCAGAGAAGGGAAAATATAAAATCAGTTTTCAAGACCATGTCATATTATATGACTTAAAAAAGCCTTTGGAAAATCTTGACTACCTTACAAAACAAATTTCAAAACACTAACTAATTTGTGTAAGCTTATCTTCATTGTACTGAGCTGGGTAATCCCACTTGGTCTGCTGGTCAGGGTGACCCAGCTACGGCCATTCCTCTCTGTGAGGTTTTTGCTCTTTGTTTGCCATGCCAAGGAGAGTCTGAGGTTGTGAAAGCAGCATTTCAGAGATGCAATTCACCACCTCACAGATGCTGGTGCCACTAAAATTCCCTTCATCCTTTCCTCTTTCTGTGGTAAGAATGAAAGTAAGTTGTACAATGCTTAGAATTACCCTCTCTTTCAGAATATTTGTGAAAGAGAAGTAGAGATCTTATGCCACTCAGCCCAGCAGAACTATCAGAAAGGGAAACTTAATGAGGCTTCTGTGAAAATAACTTTCCACAGCTCTGAAAACAGTTCATTTAGAAGTGGCGTGAAGTCTTAGTACAGCACTTTGGCAGGTCGTTTTCCAGTTAGTGGAGTACAGACAGGCCAGGCTTTTGTAAAGTTGGGCAGGACTGACAGGAAGATGGCAGAAGGGACGCTCCATGCATGGTCTAGCACCACAATAAATCAGAAAGCTCCTATGTAAGCAACGGATGTGGCACGATCCGTTCCTTGTGCAGTGTTCCTTGTGCAACAAACTGCATACGCAACATCACATCTCCACCTCTTCAACCAGCCTGCACCTCTCCCAGACATTGTACCCAGCTCTCCAATCAGCAGGCACAGTTGGAGCTGAAAGCGATGGCAGTGAGGAGCACCATCTGCCTTTGAAGCACTGACTGTCATGTGGGGCTTCAGCTACTAACTCCTGGAACCGTTCTTAAAGTTAGTGCCAAATGCCCTTAGAAAACAGTTCTCAAGTGAGCTATGTCTGTACTGAACATTCAGTGTAAGGGTTTCTATATCAAGGAGGCTATTTCTATTTTGATATACATAATATAGTCATGCTATAATCAGAATTATATGCACTGACAGTCCTCTCTGTAAATATTTAACACTGTATGAGATAAGCTTTATTAACATTGTCCACAACTATGTTTTACCTCACAGGCTGGGTTAAACTTCTACCACTTTTAAATAGTGGTTTGGTTTTGTTTTGTTGTTTTTTTTTTTTTTTCAGGGCAATATTTCACTGAAATTTAGAAAGTTTCCATGGTTAGGAGGTAGTGGTATATCCAGGTTTCATTTTCAAATTTCAGGATGGATAAATTACAACAGAGATTTTGTAGAATTTCATAGTTGATTACATAATTCTCGTCTCACACTTGCATCATCTGATGCACCTCTCAGTTAATCCTGATTGATAGCAACACAAATGAAAACAGGATTTGGTTCTGTGTTTAAATCAAAATTAACATGCTATGCATAAAGACAAATACATATCTACTTATGCAAAGAAAAGCAAAAGTAGCAGGCTCGGTGCTGCTACTATTTCTGTTGAGTTACCTAATTTGTGATTGCCTTAGTTTACCAACAACTCAAAGTGCACAAAGATGTATATGCATATGGAACGTCACCAACATTAGATTCAACTTATATTCCTTAATTCTTCAGGGAAAAGAAGACCCTTTGAGATATATCATCTCTAGAATTCTCCATGAACTGAACAGGGACTTGAATAGCTGCTTCCTGGTAAATTACTACATGCACTCCCAAAGGCCTACCTTTTATTCATTCCCTCCCCAAGTGCAGACCTCATGAACCTGCTGAAATCACTAAATGGTATTAATATGAGACTCATAGCCCTGAAGGATAGAACTTCAATGGATACTATTATCAGGGAAGCATCTGAAGATGGCAGATGACATCTGACATACATAAAGCCTTACATATAATTCAGACCTAAGTCACAAATATGAGAGAGTAAATAAGAAAATAACTTACCTTGATGAATTCTTTCTGAACATATTTGGATTGACATCATATACAATAAATTTTTTCTAGCCACCATCATGTCATGATATAATCAGTGGTGTGAAGGGTGGCTTTCCCATCACCTACCCTCTGAGGCCAGCAAAGGCTTATTAACTCTCCTTTCGTACATTCTGTAGGCTTTACACTTTGATATCAATAAGTTAAAAGACAGTAATACTTTTCTTTTTGCTAACATACCTTGAGGCCAATCCTGCTGCTTATTTCTTTTTCCAGAAGATAGAGGTTAGCTAGTTATGGCAAAGGAAGATGAAGGAGATCTTCCAAAGATGTCTGGTTGTACAAATCCAGAAGGTCTTGGTCCAAAATGAAGTACACAAGTACACAATTGTTTCACCACGGTGTCATTGGGCAGACATGGTCATGCAGGGACAAGACAGAGTAGCGCTTCTCTCTTCAGAAAGGGTTGTGGTCACCTTCCTCCCCCTGCTCCTGTAAGCAACACATAGTTAGAAACCAAAAAACTCTCCTTGAATTATCAAGGAAGGGATTGGAGAAACTGTCCGGGGTGGGGGAAATATGGATTATCTGGACAACATCACTGTGCTGAACCAAAGCCAACTGATATTGAGAGATTTTCTACTGATTCCAACTGTTTTTTTCTAAATCTTTTGCATCGCTTGCAAGCATGGGCAGTAATGACTGGTGGTTCTACACAACTTCTCTCATTTGCTCCCCTCTTTCTTTTGAATGTGAAGTTAATCACCTCTTAAGCCTACCTCTAGCTAGTTGTACTGGAGCTACATGAATCTTCACAGGAATCTGCTGTTTACTGGCCCCTAAAAGACAACGTGAAGGTAAAAAGTCTGCCATGTGCTTTAAACATCCTGTACCTGACATGATGTGGTTGATGAACCTTTGGAACCTTTTTATTTCTCTGTCTTCTCCTGGCTTGTCAGCTTTCCTCACCCTGCAATCTCAGTCAAGGGGAGGGGTATAAGTGATTACATAATTAAAATAAAACGACACTCCCTTTCTTCAAGTGAGTCATCTGCAGGTATCCAGAAAATGTACAGCATGAAAATTACCTCCAGTTCAGGGTATTAAGAATACAAAAGTAGCTCCTTAGAGGTCTTCTGGAAAAATAAGTATGGATTACATCTAATTTATAAATAAAGAGAACTACTTTCCTGCAGTTCATGGTTGCAGACTAGGATAACCAGATTACAAAGCTTCCAGTGAATTTGCAACACAGGGTGATACAGTGCTGTGTCGCTTCAGGGACAGCCCAGAAAACAAACTGTGATGCAAAGGGCTGTGCTTGGTTCCTCCTCTGGCCCCATGGCAAGAGCTCTCTTGGCAGCAGCTGGTGTCTGCCTTAGCACTTGCTGTCCAGCCTGTTGACACAGTTTATCTTTCCAGCAGAGTGGGAGGTGAGCCAGAGCCACACCTTTTCTCCACCTTCTTCAGCAGAGATGGATGACAAGAGAGGAAAACAATAATCCCACGGAAACCCATCTTTTCTTACAATGCAAGTATCTATCACAGAAAGGCCTTAGTGACTATGAAGGGTCTAGGATAAAGACCACAAACTCTTCAGTAAATGGGCATGCGTCCATAGAGATTTAAAGGAATAAATTGATTTTAAACATATTCATAAAACGATGCAATATTAAAGGAACCCACAGATTTACATGCAGTTTTTTCTTTTACTAGAAGATGACAAATAAAGGTCTAAATCCTCCTAAAGTACATTAGACTAACACTTGCAATAACTATGGAGGTGCTTTCACAACACTGGCCTGTGTTTTAAGTCTGTCTCAAAAGCCCCATTAAGTTTAGTTATCGGTACTGAACCAAAACACATGGCAGTCTTCACAAACTTTCACTCAAAATGTGTT